ATAGAGAGGAGGATGCCGACACCTGACCCAGGAGCAGGCCAGGCCAGCTGTTCCCAGCTGCTGCACTAGCCCATTACCCCCCCCACACACACACACACACACACCTGGCCCACTCAGGCCCCCCAGGGCTCCAACGTGTGGCCAGGAGCTATCGGACAGGGTCCACGGCAGGGACGGCTGGGCTCAGTTAAAAGACCAGGGAGCCGACCTGACAGCACTTCCCAGAGCGAGGTAGAGTGTCATGGCCCCAGGCAGGCAGGCTGAGTCACCACCTGGAGGTCTGTGTGCCCAGTCATAAGCCCAGCTACTGAGATGCAGCAGGCAGCAAAGACCTTGTGCCACAGACCACCCCTGGTGCAAACGCTGCGTTCCAGACAGAAAGGTAGGGCTCTGACAACCTGCCTGCCATGTTTCCAAGCTGGCGAAGGCAGAAAGTGACAGTCTGCCTCACACGCAAACACAGGGGTCCAGCCTGAAACCCAGTGCTGGCTGACAGAGAGAATCGCACACTTGAAAACAAAACACACCACGGCACCTGGACGGTCCCAGAGTCATCCCGAAATTCACATCACTTTTTCAGCAACGGGAAAAGCAGATACCTCAAATAATGCAAAACGCTGTTTGCAATAACTACGTCTCACAAGAAAATCTCAGGAAGTCAGGAAGAGTCATGTCCTTAGCTTGACAAAAGCTTGTCATATCATACATCATCCTTAAAAAAATCAGCCCCATACCTTTAAAATCAAGATACCCTTAAAATCCACTCTATTTGCTACTATTCACCAAACACTAGTGACCCAGGAAAAAGACAAGAGGAAACACATGAAAGAAAAGGGCAGGCTGGCACTGACTGCAAAGACCCCAGGGAACTAGGACAGCGGCTAGGCCTGGTGAAGGCCAGTCACAACCAGTGGAACCAGAGCTCTCCTGGACGCCATGGGAACAGTGCCACTAGGACTGGTGAAGGCCAGTCACAACCAGTGGGACCAGAGCTCTCCTAGACACCAGGGAACAGTGCCACTAGAAGTGGTGAAGGCCAGTCACAACCAGTGGGACCAGAGCACTCCTGGACGCCATGGGAACAGTGCCACTAAGATTGGTGAAGGCCAGTCACAACCAGTGGAACCAGAGCACTCCTGGACGCCATGGGAACAGTTCCAAGATCCAGGAAACCACCAGCTCCACGAGGTCTACATGGGGAAACTGACCAGATTCTGCAGGACAGAAGGCTACGGGAAGACACAGTCGGACCATAATGAGGTAATGCTGCCCAAGGAGGCTCAAGGAATTCTATGACGTGTCCCATAGTTACTTCTGTGGAAGGTTCCAGGATGTATTTCAAAGGACAAAGTCTCTGAATAGGTCAGGGAGTCACTGTCACAGGTCTGGGGCCAGCAGGGAGGTGCAGGGAGGAGGCCACGGGTGTAGAGCGTCCCAGGAGACTGCATGACGATGGGCAGACGTGCACAGCTCATGCAGCCAGACCCTGCCGCACACTGTACAAAGGGGTTCCCAGAAGACCACTGCACGAGGGGCTGGGGACACAGCTCATGCACAAGTCCCTGGTTCCTCCCAGCACCACACACACACACACACACACACACACACACGTGCACAGACCACTGTGTGAAAGACAAAGCCTCGGAGCAAGAGAAGAAAATCCAAAGATGTCCCCTCCTCTTGGCCTTGGGGTGAGGAAGCACATTCTGAGACCCTGCAAGCACAAACCATAACAATGAAATTCAATGCATCTGAGCAACCAGATTCCATGCACTCTGTTTAACTAAGGGTCATCACAGCCATGACATGTGACAGTACAACCCCAACACCCAAAATGCACAAGCACCTTTCTCAAAGAAACGAGTTAACAGGGCAGAGGACGCCAACGGGTAAAATCATGAAGCTCAGACGGCAGCAAGCAGGGTAATCGGGAGACACAAAACTTCCCAAACACTCTACGTCCAGCGGAAGACAGCCCCAGATGGGGGGGACGCAGCCATGTGCAGGCTGGTGCAGAGGGGCCAGTGACTGAGCAGCAGGTGGCAGGTGCCTGCTGTGAGAGGGTGTGACTGCAGAATGTGAACCAGTCAACACAGGGGCCCAGGACCCCAACCCTGGAAAACAAACACCACGGAGGAGGAAAACCTGCAGACAGGGCTGCCAGGGGCAGGGAGCGGCGGCAGGACAAAAGAGGCCGGGGGTGGGGGCACACAGCAGAGTAGCTACCCGGGCCCACCACAGTGCGGGTCCCCAGTGTCACTGACATGGGCGAGCCCACAGCAGGCCAACACCAGAAGGAAGAGGGCAGCAGGCCATGAGCTCCACAGGATACAGATGAGCCCTGGAGGTCTGTCCTTTTCTTCAGTACAGGGGACTGAGCCCAGGGGCACTCTACCACTGAGCCATACTTCAAGCCCTTTATAGTCTGTATTTCTTTTGAGAGAAGATTTTTTTGAGACTGGCTTCTTGCCCAGGCTGGCCTCAAACTTATGATCCTCCTTCCTCAGCCTCCAGAGTGGCTGGAATTACAGGTATGGCCACCACGCCCAGCACCCTTCTCTGCTTCTAAGACAAGACACAAGAGCCTCCGTGGCACACTGGGCAGGACCTGAGCTGCCTCTTCCAGGCAATCCCCGCCCGCCCCGCCCAGGCTGTGGAGGCCTGGGCAGGAATCAACAGGAATCAGACTCCAAAGGCTGAAGTCTTGCCTTGTCATCTAATGCACCACTCTCCAACTGCCCCCAGGACCTTTGTTTGGAGGAATATAAGAGCAGGTGGCTGTCCCCCACACCTGCTGGGCTGCTGTCCTCCCCTGTACTTTAGAGACAGGGGCTTCTCCTCCGGGGCCTGTCCACAGCCTGTCCACCCCCAGGGGCTGCTTCTCCTGTCCCTGTGCTGTAATAGCTGTAGAATCCTGCCAAGTGGCAAGGCGGACCCCTCCTGCCTCCACAGGGCCGAGTGGGCATCCATGACAACTCAGGACCTTCCYGCTCTTCCTCTGAACCGAGTGTGGCTCACTAAGCACACCCGGTCCACACACTTGAGAGACACTCTTTCTGGAGGTATTGTGTCCCACAAGAGCGCACATGGCCCTGCTCATCAGCACATGAACGCCTACAGGCCCTGGCAAGATGTCCCCAACCAACAGGGCAGCTCCCCAGATCAGACAGCCAGAGCCACCCAGGCACCTGGCTACCCAAGGAATCACTGTGGCTCCCTCCTGGTGCAAGAACGGCACCCCGTGGCCACTTCCCTGGGGCTGACGAGTCACCTTCCAGCTGCTTACAGCACTACAGCCCCCTCCGCAAGTCCCACTGCACAAGCATCAGCACCGGGGCTGAGAGGACGCCAGCCCACGACCAGGCAGACTGGCCGGCACAGGGCACCACCCAGGCCAGGCCTCGCAGGGATGAACTGCCCCTCCAGGAATTTCTGTGACCACCCTCAGAGCCCTCTGGCAGCCCGCCACCAGGAAACTCACCAGCTGCAAAGCCTCTTTAGCAGCAGGATCCTTCTCACAAATAAAATCTAAGTGGACCCTGAGGACATCCACGCCCGTAGGAGTGGGCAGAGCTGCTGCAGTGGGAGGAGAGGGCTGGCCCTCCCCAGGCGGGACACCGACACCTCGGCCGCGCTCTCCTCCTGTCTGCAGGCTGCAGAAGCAGCACCTGTAGATGCCCTGCCTTGGGCAGGGCAGGAACCGACTCTCGGGTTACAATGTCAGGCCAGGCTGGCTCATGGGCAGGCTCTGAGGGTGAGGATGTTGGGTGTCCACTGCTGTCCCTAACACCAAGGCAGGAAAGGGTACACCTAACACCTTCTCCAAACAAGCTCCCTCCTTCAGGATGCAGGGCACCGAGTGTCAGGCCCAGCCATGCCCCGGCCAGGCACGACTAGCTTCAGGTGATGCTGGCCAGAGGAAGAGACCCTCCCTATTTCTGAGCCAGCAGCTGCAGGCTTGAGTCCTGACAGAGCCTGCTTGCTGAACTCCTGAACCTTCCCTGGAACCAAGCCCTTGGGGAGAGGAACCTAGCACATCCAAGAACCTGAGTGATTCCTGGGAAATCTGCAAGGAAGCTATGACTGCTGGGGAAGATGGGGACTTGTGGCACACAGTGGATGAGCAAGAGCCACACCCAGGCGGAGCTGAGGTAGTTCTGGAGAGGATGAAGGCCTCACCACATTTCCAAGGGGACTGGCGGAAGCCGTTTGGCCTTGGCTACGGAATCCAAGAGGGGCCAGGCCGAGACTCCAGGCAGGACCTGATCAACAGGGCGGACTTCACCTGCTCAGGAGTTGCCATGGCTGCCACTGGCCAGGGCCACTGGACAGTGCAGGGAAAGAGGCAGAAGGTGCACACTCCTTGAGGGCCCAGTGGGAAGCAGAGATGGTTCCTGCAGGTGTGCAGCCCCAGGCAGGGCAGGAGCTTGCTCCCAGTAGCCATTCATCCACCCATCAGCACCCACCTGCTGAGACCGCCTCAGGTGGTGGGGGTGGGCATTACTGGGATGGCAGGACAAAGATGGCCCCAGAACTGAGATGCCAAATGCCATGGGACCACAGGGTGCCGCGCTCAACAGGGAGCTGCCCTCACAAGGTCACCGCCAGGGAGGAGGCGCGTCACAGGTCACCCAGGCCAGCAGCTGCTGACCCAGCTGCTTCCCAGGTTCTCTCTCCCAGCACAGTTTGACTGAAGCTGACGAGAATCTCCATGCCAGGGCTGGGGCTGTAGTTCAGTGATTGCGCACCACAGGGTTGAATTCCCCCCAGAAAAACCCTCCCAGCTGGGCAGGAGGGTGGACAGCAGCTTCTCCAGTCTGTGCAGAAGAGCGGGTCAGATTCAGGGTGGCTCCAGGTGGCAGAAACACTTGGTGGTGCCATGAACAGTGGGCATCAGAGCCCATCAGACTAAACACCTAACCAGAACAAGTCACCACTGAGACGCAGCCGTGGCTGCCAGCCCTGGCTGATCAGGTCCCCCTGGTCCACCGCACCCTTACCTCCTGCTGGGGCTCCTCGCCAGGCCTTGACTTCTTGGGTTTGGAGGGACCTCCAGGGCAGGAGAAGGACTTGGGCGACATGGCCAAGGGTGAGACTGGAGACCTCGCGCTCTGCGAAGGGCCCCCCAGCCGCTGTCCCCCACCAGAGAAAGGAACAAAGGGGGCGGACGCAGGCTTCTTTGTGCTCTGCTTTGTCTGAGCGTCTCCTGGCTCTGAGCTGCCCGTATCATCCTGAGACCTCAGGTCGCCCCTGATGAGCCCCCCTGATGTTAAGAGGGGCAGAGGGCTGCCAGTGGCCTGGGTGGCTGACGTGGAGGAGGCCGGGCTTCCTGGGGTCTTGCTCCCCATGGCCCCAGGCTCCTGCTGGCCTGCAGAGTCACATTGCTTCATGACAAACCTGGGGGAGCCAGAAAGTGAGTGGATACCACAGAGCAGAGGACAGGACCTTCTCCACTTTCTCCAGTCYCACCCTCTGAGGGCACCTCACAGAGGGGTGGCCCGAGCTCCCGCACCTCCTCTCCTACTTTCCACATTCCCTCTCTCTTTCCTTTGAGATCTCGGGTTTGTTTTGTTTTCTTTTGTGTGGGGATTGAACCCAGGGGCTCTACCACCAAGCYGCACCCCAGCCCTTTATGTGTTTTTTGTGACAAGGTCTCACTAAATTGCTTAGGGTGACCTTGAACTTGCGAACCTCCTGTCTGAGCTTCCCAAGTCGCTGRGATTACAGGTGTGGCCACTGCACCTGGCCGAGCACACATTTTATTTTTAACTAAATGGAACTCCAAACCCAGTACTGCTCTGCCCTTACCTGATGGTGGCACTGCCCCCGGTCAGCCCCAGTGACTGCAGCGTTGTGCTCCGCAGGGCCTCTCCGCCAGTTACCTGTAGGAAAGGCAAACAGGACTCTTAAGTCCTTCTCCCAGATGCCAGGCAACACCCCAAGCCCTCGCTGATAAAGACCTAGCAGGCCCAGGCTGGGGCTCCTCTGACCAGTGCCCTCTCCCACCCAGGCCTTCCTCTGCCCTTGAGCTCTGTGAGCCCACGAGCTCTGCAAGGTCCAACAACCCGACTTGCAGCTGGTGAGGCCCCGTGACCATCTTTCTCCACCCAGCCTGGCCTCCTCAGCTGTGAATTGAGCCCACTGAGGCTGGGAGAGAAGGATGGGCTGGGTGGGGGCCACCCTGAGGCCCGTAGCCCTGCCCAAAGCTGCCGGCCAGTGGGAATGGATGGGGGGAGCGCACTGAGGTGAGCGCAGAGAACAGGCCCCATACCCACCAAAATTGCCCACCTTGATCTGTGAACACTAGGCCCATGGCCACCACTGGCCAAAATGACTGCCAAGTCTGCCCAGAACAGCCTGTTCAGAGAAGGGCCTCTTCCCCAGCACTCCCAGGCCCCTCACAGCCCACTGCACTGCGGCAGGACGCAGGGACAGCAGACAGCCCAGGCCTCAGGGGTCTAGACACTGGGGGGCCGGTCAGGTTCACCAGCTCCACAGCTGCTGGCCAGGCTCCAGCAGGACCAGCCTCCTCTGTGGAGGGAGCCCGTCCATGGCTCTGACTCTTCAGAACCCTTTGAGCCACAGCGACCCCAGGTCAGAACATAGTCCCACGGGCTCTGCTGGCCTGGCCAGGGTGGCAGTACCCACTCTGCACCCTGTCTGGCTGTGGCCAGCCCAGCTTCTTCCCCACCATGCCACCAGCAGCCACAGCTGCCCTCCAGGCCAGTGCTGCCTCAGGGTCACTAACCTACCTGACTAGTCCTCCCCTCTCAAGGACCACTTTGGGTTGTGTTTTGCCAGGGACTGAACCCAGCACCATACTCCACCACTGAGCAACATCCCGCCCTCAACAGTCATTCCTGACACTCAGCTCTGGATGCACAGGGCTCAGGATGGACAGGGCCCAGGCCCAGCTGTCTACACCCACTGAGCTAACGTAAGCTCTTTGAGGAGCAGCCTCTGGAGAGGATCGTCCCTCTGAGGGCTGAACACAACAGCCAGGGTGCATGGCCACATCCCAGCGGTCAGCCTAGTCCCGGAGGCCTTGTGGCCCATCTCTTCCCCAGGACGCGCTGGCATGAGCAGCTTCCTGGTCCCCTCACAGCTTCAGGTCAGGGGACCTCGACTGGGAACAACAGGGGGAAGTCCTGTCCACACAAGGGCTGTCCCAGCCTCTCAGGGACCGTGTCCCCCACTCTGCCCCAAGCCAGCAAAGGGCACTGGGCCAGGGTTGAAACAAAAAGCCCCTGTGAGGCCACAGGACCAGGCACTAGGAGGGTCCCCACCATGGCAGGCAGGCTGCAGGGCGGCAGGGCCTTGGGGCCAGACTTTGCCTCGGCCTCGCTGTGCTCAGTTTTGAAAAAGATCAAAACACGGAGCAAAGCAAATATTTATTAAAATGAAACCACTTTTGTAACTCTTGGGCTTTGAGAGAAGCTGAAAAAACAAACAGGCCACTGAGGGAGGTTTCGGGAGCAGCCTGGGCGGCGCGGCTGGTCCCAGTGGGCCGGCTGTGCCGCTTCTTTCCATAAAACATGCTGGCTCTCAGGAGCCACCGCCCAGGCTGCCGCTTTGAGCTTTGAAGATGGTGGGCAGTTTCCAGCCTGGAGAGCGGGCTGGGCTGGCTGAGCATGGCAACGGGCAGGGGTGGGTGGCCGGCACCTACCTCGTCCCTCATGTACACACAGACAGGGGTCGCCTCTCCCGGCTGCTGCACGTGCTCTCTGGGTGGAGGAAAGAGTGCTGTCAGGGGCCTCTGGGTGGGACAGCTAGGAGCCCCAGGCACCCAGCCCAGCTGGGGGCAGGGGGCCCTGGGGGCTTAGGGCCACAGCCCTCAGCCAAGCAGCCCAGCCTGGCATAGCCTCCCACACCCCATCCACCCCTGACCACTGGGAGGAGGGAGCCGACAGCCAAGCAGAGCCCGGAGAAGGTCCCAGCCATTGGCACGCAGCCTCGAGAGAGAGGGACCGTCAACCCTAGACAACCCCAGCAGCAGCACGCTGCCAAGGGTGCTACACTCTGCTGTGTGCTAGGCCAGGGCCCGAGACAGGTATCAAGGTCCTGGGATCTGGGTTTCCATCTCAAGATGCCTCTCAGAGGGCCACTGACCCGAGATGGCCAGGACCAGTTCGGCATGCAAAGCCATCAGGTGGACTTGGAGCAAGAGGTAAAGTCCCCAAGGCCACGAGCATTGCCATATGCTGTCCCCTCTGCCCAGCCCATGGGGCTCACTGGGGTGTAGACGCAGCAGTCTTTAAGTACTACAATGCCAGTCCTTGACCACAGAGCACATGGCAGTCCGCAGGGCCCAGTAGATGACCGCAGGGCATGGACAGGGACAGTGGCACCTCCTGGTGAAGCACAGTTCAACACCCGTGGTGTCGAGTGGGACAAGACAGGCTCTGAAGAGGACCTTTACACAGTGAGGCCGTGGCACTGCAAACACGCTGGTCCATGCCTGCCCAGAAGGCCACCTGGAAGCTGAGCTCCCAGGGACCAACACAAGTTGGGGACAAGAGCAGGAATAGGCTGGGAAACACCAGACCCAAAGGGACCCACCCCATTAACACCCCCCACCACCCCCACCACCCCCAGGCATGGTCCCACCAAGGCTGTGCCCATCCCTGGCCCCACGCTCAGCTCAGGCCTGACTGCCCAAATCAGTCAGCCACATGATGTGGGGCAGGGCTCGAGCAGCAAGGGGCGTGGGTCCGCGCTGGCAACCAGAAGGCAGGGCAGAGACTAGGTAAGGCAAGGCTTGGATGGGCTGCAGCCTGGGAGGGCCAAGGACAGGCACTGGGACCACCAGGCAGGGAACCTGGGCACCAAGCGGGTTTGCAGCCCCCCCACCCCTTAGAGCATACTGTAGAGCGTCTGACGGCAAGAGCTCTGCTCTCTTCCTGGGTTACTCACAGCTCCATGGGCCCTGGGAGGTTTGGAAACCAGGAGGTGGGACCTAGCTGAAGCAAGTGGGTCCTCAAGGCACCTGCCTTTGGGGACTCGACCTTGGCCCCAACCCCTCCTCCCCCACCCTGCTTCCAGCCCCTGTGATGAGCAGCTGGCTCCACCACACCCTCTGCCACCAAGCACTGCCACTGAAGCCCAAGGGCTAGGGACCGAAGCCTCCAGAACCACGAGCCAAGATGAACCTTTCCTCCTTCAAGCTGTTGCTCTCAGGTGCTCGGTCCCAGCCACACACACAACCTAAGGAAACGGAGCTCAGGCCACAAGTCGTCTGGGAAAGCCTTGAATGTGACAGACAGCTTCAGGTCACACAGCTGGCCGCACCACTCAACCAGGGACTCCCCCTGGCCCTGATGCCGGCAGAGCGTGGCCAGGGCTCCCTGAAGCAGGGGTGCCACAGCAGGACAACGTCAAAGCCTGGACGGGCTCCGACACGTGGCTTCTCCAGAAGAAACCCAGGTGGGTCAGATTCGCTTGTGTAAGACTGAGGAGCGGCCAGAGGCCAAGGGAGGGCACTAAAATCCCTCCCAGACCTTCAGCCACTCAGACCAGCAAGCAGAGCTCCCTGCCAGGTGGCAGGTCTACAGAGGCCTCCTGCACAACCCTCAGGTTCTGAAGACCTGCCGTGCACCACAGGCCAGGCGAGCCTGGAGGGAGAGACAACCAGTGCACCCGTGGTTCCTGTGGTGCTACCCACTCACATGAGACACCCCTCGGCCAAAGAGAGGGTGCTGGGGGCGCCAGTCAGGTCCCAGTCCTCAAAGGCCAGCAAACATTCCCTGGTCAGAGCCAAGGGCCAGCTTGGATGATTGGGCAGAGCAGAGATGCCACGGCTGCTAGCCTTGGGTACAAGTTCCACCCACCACAAAGCTCATCACCCCCTGAGGGGTAGACTGTCTGCCCACTCAGGGCCCAGCTGCTGTGTGGTGCACCGTGTGCTGGGGACAGGCGGTGTCTGTAACGACTGTTTGGCCCTGAACAAGCCAGAGCTGGTACAAACACACTGCCAAGAAAATTTTGTGTTCCCCACACAAGAATGACACATGCCGACAAAAGCTAGCAAGACCAGCAGAGCCGTGACTGCCGGCAGAGTGGATGCTCCTGCTCAGGGGGCCCGGAGAGCCAGGCAAGGTGTCTTGGCCACCACCACACGACAGTACAGACCTGCTCCCTGCCCCCTGCCCCGTGTTCAGGCTGGAAGGAGCAAAGAGGGCAGCAGCTGAGCCTAGGCGAGTCCTGAGGAAAAGCAGCTGTGACCAGGAGTTCAGAGCCAGCTGTCCACTGGGCCCACAAAGCAATCCTAAGTGCGTCCACGGGCTATGCTCAGAGCCCTGTTCTCACTGCAGCCACTCCCTGCAGCCCACTTGGCGTTCCAAGAAACGTAGGTCCCACTCACAGAGGGGCAGGATATGAGACAGCCAGGGAACGGGAGGCACACCAGGGCGGGAGGCAGTCACACTTGGGGAGGAGAGGAGGGGCTGAGTCCCCTGTGTAGCCAGTTCATGGACTTGACACTCACCCAAACCCCCAGTACCTGCAAACTGACTTGAGAGCGCCCCCTGGGGCGGGCTGGGCCCGAGTGGAGCAGAGGCGGCCGAGGCTCCTTACAGAAGGGCACTCCAGCCTGACTGGGGCTCTGCCCAGGCAGCGAGTTCCAGTCTGGGGACTTCGGCATCTGTGCTCAACACATGTCGGGCTTTCTCCCACCCAGGCTCAGCCCTTGATGTAGCTTCCAGCTTCCCCTTCCTCCAAGCTCACCTGGCCATGCAGAACTGTGCCTGCTCAACAGCTGCTCTGAGGGCTGCCCCACGGGCAGCAGGATGCTACCTGACTTGTCCCTTACACCCCACACCAACCTCCTGGAGCTCCTCACAGGTCCCCCACCTGGATGACACTCAGGCCCCCAAAAGCCCCCAGCATCCGCTCCACGTGCTCCTGGCCTCTGCACATGGCTGTAGACGTGCTCTTCCCAGGCCTGCCCATGGTAACATCTTGACCGCCCGATGCTGCGGCTCATCGCTGAAGGGCACTGCAGCCAGACTGAAGGTCCAACCCAGGCAGGCAGGAGCAGCAGTGGCCCAGACACCAGGGAGACATACCCAGTGCCAAGAACTTCAGGCCCACATAAGGGGCCTCGTCTTCCCGTTGATTGCGTGCTTGAAGAATGCTACTTTGGTACACTGAGCTAAACAAACATTACTAAAATTATTATGTCCATTATTWCTTTCTGCTTAACAAGAGTGCTAGGAAATTCTGAGTTCCTTCATGACCTGACGGCCATTGCTTGTGTGGTATTCCCAGAGCTGCTCCAGAGGCTGGGGGCCAGGTATGGGCCACATCCATGTTCAGATGGAAGGCCCTACCTAACATCACTGGCTCCAGCCTAGGAGACCACCTGGTGGTCCCCGACACACCGAGCATGACCCCCATGCCATGCTGATCTCCAGAGGGCTCCCTAGCAGGTGTGGGTCTGCGATCCCCAACCTGAGCACACCTAACCAGGCCCAGCACCTGTGTGGTTCTCATACTCTCCCACTTTCCGGAAGTACCAGGGGGCAGCCAGCTTCTCTCCTGTCCCAGTCTGGGGAGACTGGGGGTCCCAGAACCAGACCACATGCTCCTCCTCACTTCATGCAGACATCTCTGAATCAGGGAGGTCTCAGTTCCCAGTGGACCCTCTGCTCTGTCCCCAGCCTGTGCTCACTGGGCCTGGAGCCCTCACCATGGAACTGGAAAAACACACACACGTGCGCGCACACACATGCACGCATGCACACACACATGCACGCACGCACGCACGCACGCAAGGGGCCTCCATCCTGCTTCCCAGTGAGGAGCACCAACTTCAAAGACAAAACTGGTTCTGCACTTCCAGAGCTGAAATGTCTCTTGGTTCAGCAATTTTGGCTCTGGAACTTATCCTAAGGGAGGAGCTAAGGGTGGTCCTCGGCCAGCAGCCCACTCCCACTGCCTGTGCAGGCCACACGCTGGGCAACAACTGGCTGCGGCTCTGGAGAGTTGGTCAGGTACAAAAGGCAGTCCTGTCACCCAGCAGAGGAGGGAAGTGGGAAAAGCAATGAAGACACTCTCCACAAGGGGGTCTACACAATCATGGCCAGAAAGGGCAGGCCAAACCTCTTCCCACACAGCCTTCCCATGTCCATGAGCTGTCATGAACATCCTTGACAGACACTCCAACTGTCACCCAGGCTGTGACCTCCAGACTCCATAGCCTCTATGGCCCCTTCCTCCAGGTGGAAGCGCTGCCCCACCCTCCCCTCCAGCCACACTTCACCATTTACAGTCACCCAGCCTAGGAGGCTTCTGTGAACACCCTTGGCCTGCCCCAGAGTCCACTCCAGGACACTCGGGGCCATGTCCTCGTCTTTGTACCCACCCACCACCAAGATGACAATAAATGAGGTACAGTCCACGAGCCACCGAGAATCCTGCTGCCGTGTGCAGCCCTGGGACCGCCACCCCAGGCAGTACCAGGCCCAGAAGGCGTGTCCCCTGGGGCTGTCTGTCCTGGGTGCTGACTCTCCTCAAGAGACTCCACCAAGCACAGGCCGCAGTTCCCCCCCTGGGGTGTGGGCAACACTGGAACCTTTCTGGGATTCTGAAGGCACTTCTCCACCCACGCAGAATTCCCAGGCCTGCCCTCCCTCACAGCTGCGGAACGTCCGGCATTTCACAGTGATGACCCCTGATGAGGGTCTTCCACACACTCAAACCTTCGGCACTGGGCCCTCAAACCTTCGGCACTGCTCTCCAGAGACCCACAGGAGAGGCTGAAGATCTCACTGGGCTTCTGACTGACCCTCTGCCCTCTTTTCTCCACCCTCCACTAGGGTGCCCACAGTTCCTCCACCCACCGAGGAGGCGCAGCCTCTATCCTCAGAGGAGTCAGCCACACAGCCACCAGGAGGGTGACCAGCAGTGGTCATGAGCCGGCCAGTGGTGCGTGCTGGCCCCAGCCTGGGAGGCTGTGCACACTCTGGCTCTGAAGCCCACAACCAGAGAAGGAGCCAGTCCGTGTGACCACAGCCGCCATGGACCAACACCCTGCCTGAGGCACTCCTGGCTGCACACACACCTGCAGCCCCAGACCACCTTCATCCAAGTGCTCCGTTGCAGCCCATCCCCATGTTGATGACCTTGCATGTCCTCTGAGGACAGTGACTAACACACAGTTCCCAACCAGCCAGTAGCCATCTCGTCCTCTTCATTCCCCTGCCTCAGGGGCAGCTGCACTCCTGGGGCATCCACTCATCTTAAACCTTCAAACCAGGCTCCATCAAAACTGCCGTTGTCAGGGTTGCCGAGAGCCCAGCCTGCAGACCCTAGTGCCTCATCCTTAGTGCAGCTGAGGACAGCTGGGCACTCCACCCACCCACTAGGGTCCAGAGCAGTCTCTCTCTACAGTGGCCTCTGGCAGGCAGAGCCACTTCCCACACACAACCCCCACACCAGGCCCTGTTCTCAGTGCTAGAGACACCCCCGCTCATCTTGTCTACACACCCATGCAACGGAGGGGACCACAAAGGCCCCGAGAATGGAGCAACAGAGSCTCACAGTCAGCACTACTCCTTCTGCTCTGCTGGTGAGGCCTGTCAAGTGAACAGAGACTTCCATCCCACAATGAAAAGACCCAAACTTAAAAGGCTACCACTTTCACACATCCAAGAATAAAGCTTAAACCACAAATCAACCGCCAGCAACTAACACATGCCAATATTATTAAGAAGACCAGCTGGGCACAGTGGCATATACTTGATGCTAGCTACTTGGGAGGTTGAGGCAGGAGGATCCCAACTTCAAGGTCAACCTCAGTGATTTAATGAGATACTGCTGCAAAGTAAAAAATAAAAAGGGCTAGGGATGTGGCTCAGCGGTACAGCCCCACTGGACCCAATCCCCAGTCCTGAGGGATTAAAAAAAAAAGACAATTCATTTTCATGAAGAATTTCACACCACAGAGTTAGTGTCTTTTCTGATCCCCCAAACACTGACCCCATCTATCCAGGGAAAGCAGGCACAGGAAGAGGCACCAGTACCACTCCCTTCTCTGCTCACCAAGCCCCTGGGGGGCCTCTCCGGTCCCCACAGAGCTGGAGGCATGCTCCTGCTCCTCTTGGAGAGCAATGACAAGGCTGTGTCAGGCCTGAAAGCTTAATGAGAGGAGCCACTGGCCACCCACAGCACTGGGTCCTGACCAGTAAATGGGCAGCTTCCACATCCCATCAGTCCTCTCAACCAGCACCACCTGGGGCAAGGCTCATGCTCGGGCCCTGGCCACAAAAGTGTGGGTTCAGACCCTGGGGCCACAGCAGCATGCCTGCCAGGAGCGGGCAAGAAAGAGTCAGGGACCTGCCCACCAACACTCACCTGGTCTGTGCAAAGTGGCTGAGAAGCTCCCAGAGGGTCTGGCCTGAACAGAAAGTGTCCTGCAACCGGGAGCCATCATCAAGCTGCAGAGCAATTCGAACCTGGAAGGGCAGGACGTTGAGAAGTCAGTTAGCAAGAAGAGCAGCTATCCCAACAAACCTCACTTGAATCCCAGGGAACAGAAGGCACCCACCTGGGGAGCACTGCTGCCACTCTGTACACCCTGGAGACACCAGTGGTTTAGGGGCCCTTAAGGGTCGCACCAGCACATGCAGGGGCACAGGTGTGCAGGCCCCACAGGAAGAATCCCTCATGGAAATGCCCCTGGTGCCAGAGGCATCCTCAGAAAGTCACACTCCACTCACCTGGTGCAGCATCACCAGAGGCCCCGAGCCGAACTGCCCCTGACCAACCCCAGAACCCTGAGACAGTAATTGATGTGTGTTGCCAAGTTTCCAGAAATTTGTTACATGGCAAAATGTAACTGACACATGCCATTTTATGAATTTTTATTCACAACTGAGCACACTACTTTTCCAAATCTTTTTGGACTGGTAATTGATCACCCTGGAGCACTGAACCCCCAAGCCACATCCCCAACCCTTTTTATTTTTGAGATAGGGTCTCACTAAGTTTGCTTAGGGCCTCTCGAAGTTGCTGAGACTGGCTTTGGACCTGTGATCCTCCTGCCCCAGCCTCCTAAGCCTCTGGGATTACAGGCATATGCCACTGTACCTGGCCCATATCTATTGTTAATAACTGTGTCCCCATTCAGGAGCACACCCAAACGGAGGCATTCCTTCTGGTCCCTCGGCAAAGGGAAGCAATAGATCCCCTGGTGCACAAAGCCTGGGTGTGGATCTGAGCTCCACCCTCAGACCACACACCTTGGTCCAGCTGCCCTGCTGTTCTCACCATGGGATTCTTTCTTTAAGTGCACATTTACATCAAACCCCAGTAACACAGAGGAGGGACTCCCTGCATGACAGGGTGCCTGGGCCTCCCACTCACCCCGCATACCTGAGGAACCCTGAGGGAAGCCAGGCTCCCTCCCACGCAGCAGCAGCAGAGAGGACCGCAGCAGCAACCAAAAGACCAGTGTTGGGCTCAGTCCCAGCCCACTGAGTCCTGGTCGGCACAATCCAGCCACGGCTTGGGGAGCTATCAATGCCCCAGGGCAGAGCCTCCTGGTCTGATGAGAAAGCACTTTCCCACCACGCAGGGAAAACACAATCACAGGAGAAAAGGCCTGGGCAGCGGCTGGTCAAGAGGACAGTCATCACCCTTGCTGCCGTTTTCATCTGCAACAGAGGCTACCTTCCAAACCTAACAGCCTGGACCTGAGRGACTGTGGTGAGCAGCAGCAGGGCCAGCAAGCCCTGCTAGAGAAGGACGGCAAGGCCTAAGCTCTGCAGCTGCTGGCCGAGGCGTGCAGCAGCTGCTGGCCAAGGCGTGCAGTAGCTGCTGGGGGTCCACCTGGCTCCTCGGGTTCTATATCTTTATGACTCTGTGACCAGACACGTCAGCCTGGTGGGCAAACATTGCTGACAGGCTGAGATCGACGCGGCATCAGAAAGGGACAGACAGACAGAGACCATGACTGGCTTCCAGTGAACCAGGTAGGATACACTGCCCCAGCCTGACCGAGGAAGGCCCCCGGCTCCCTCCTCCTCTTCCAGCCCTTCCTGGCTCACAGCCCAAACGAGAGCCAGGCAAGCAGCCCCCACCTCACTGCCGGCCACATACCTACCGTTTTCTCTGGCCCCTCACGGCTCCGGGACACAGGCACCATCTCTAGTTTGGCATTGTTGGGCAGGTTGGCAAATCTCCACTGGAGAGAGAGGTCCAGCACAGTCCTCTGGAACCTATGGAAAGAGACCAAAGCCACTTGCTGCCCTGCAGACCACACTCGTCCTGACTCCATCCAAACTGCAGGGCAGCTCCCCACTGAGCAGGCCCCATGGCCACAAGAGCAAAAAGTTACAACCTGCAAAGAGGCAGGTCCCCAACCACAGGGAGCTCAGGAAGGAAAGAGAAGTACAGCACTGACTCAGCCTGAAAGCCTGGGAGACAGGGAGAGGAGCAGGAAACTGGCATCATGAACCTCTGGACCCAGAGGCCTATAGACCCTCAAGAAATAAACACATGGGGGCGGGGGCTGGGACTGGGCTCAGCGGAGGAACGCTCGCCTAGCACGGGCGGGCCCCAGGTTCGATTCTCAGCACCACATAAAAATAAAAAGCATTGTGTTGTGCCCATCTACACCAAAAAAATAAATATTCCACCAGTGGAAAGTCTCCCCCTACCACTCCTGCTTCCTCCCATCCTCCAAGGGGGCCACACCCAGGCGACAAACAGAGGAGGCAGAGATTCTAGAGAAACCACACCAGGAATGGGCCAACCCAACATCCTCAGGGTAAACTCAGGGCAAGAGCAGACAGTAAAGCTATAGCCTCCCACCTGCAGCAGCAGTCATTTCTCTGCCATCTCCTGGGGGTCAGCTGTGAACCAGGGCCTGGAGGTCTAAGAGCCTCCTAGCCAGCAAAAAATACCATAAATCCCTGGGAAAACAAGGTGAGCCTGAAGACTTCTCTGAGCCCTAGCAGGGAGGGTCAGAGGTTTTCCAAAGGCCCAGACAATAGGGCTTCTCTCAAAAGCACCAGGGACCAAAAGCCCTGGTGAGTCATAGAGATGGCATCCAAGGAAAGGAGAAACAGGCAGCAGCCCTGAGCCCATCTGGGATCAGCCTTCAAGAGCCTGCCYCTTCCAGAAAGCATGGCCTCACACAGTCACAACTAGTGTGCCTTCTGATGAGGAGCTCAGACAAGGAGCCAGCAGGCAGCCCAGGCCAGGCGAAGGCAGAGCCAGGACCTCAGTGCAAGGCTCCTGACACCCAGCTCAAAACACCTTGGCCGCAGACCCACAAGGAACTCCACACCTGCCCTAGGAGGAGAARAAGGACAGGCACTGGGGAGCTCACCATGCTGCCTTCGCCAGGGTGGGCAGGGCAGGAGCCACCTGCCCGGGAGCCTTCCCAACCTTCTCATGCCAACTCCCACAGGTCCCAGGACCCGTGTGGAAGCAAGAACCACTGGTCCACCCCAACTGTGACAGATCCCACACACCTGAGAAAAGTTCCTGCTCATCCATCTTAAAAAACAAAGTTACTGGCTCCGATTTAAAAAGAGACATGTGGGGGGAGAGGGAGGAAGGGAGGGGGCATGGGGGTCATCATCACCCTAAGTACGCTTACGAAAACACGAACACGTGACCCTGCTTTGTGTACAACCGGAGATATGAAAAATTGTGCTTTATATGTGTAATATGAATTGTAGTACATTCTGCTGTCTTATCTAACAAATTAAAATTTAAAAAATTTTTAAAATTAAAAAAAAATAAAGAGAGATATGGATCAGAGGAAATCAATGGGAGAACAAGTAAGAGAACTATTGTCACTCAGAAGTCAGACACTGGACTCTATTTTAATTAAAGTTTAGAGGAAAACTACAGAACTCAGGAGAGAAATTCATGTGAAGTCTGAATACAGAGAGTGGTCAGCACAACTGCAAATGCAAAACATTAGAAACAACTGCTCAAGGTTTTCTGGATTTCTAGCAGTTTACAAAGCCCAAAGGCATTTGGAAAAAATGAAATGAGGCAACACTGATAGTGTCTTGAACATGGCTAGCAGACTGGAAACTGCCAAATAAATACCTAATGTAAGACAGGACAGCAAGTCCAAAGAGAATCAAGAGCAGTGGGCAGAAAGGAGCCTCACTCACCCAGGAGAGGGATGGCAGTGCTTTGTAAACCAATGGCACGGTTAGTGATGACAGGAAGACAGGAGGAAAGCTAATACAGTGTTGCAGTGGAACTCATTCAAACTATACTCATTAACTGGGCATGATGGCCCTCACCTGTAATCCCAGCAGCTTGGGAGGCTGAGGCAGGAGAATGATAGGTTCAAAGCCAGCCTCAGCAGCTTAGCAAGGCTGTAAGCAACTTAGTGACCGCAGCCGGCTGGCCCTCAAATAAGAAATTAAAAGGGCTGGGGATGTAGCTCAGTGGTTAAGTGCCCTTCAGTTCAATCTGTGGTACCAAGAAAAGAAAAATTATACTCATTGGCTCCAACCAGACACCATCATATGGATGGCAGTCAACAGAGTTGGAGCAACACTCTGTGACAGGATGCTCAGAAATGACCCACCAGTTGAAGCATGTGTCCTGGGATTCTCAGACAGACACAACAGGAGGAGGGACATGAAGGCTGACACCACCCGATGATGATAACTCCTGAGAAACTCCTCCCTGGAAAGCCCTTGAGCTGTGTGGACAAAGCCGAGGCAGGCTCCTGCCCTCTGCTCAACCATCAGGACCACACTGCCAGGACATCTTTAAGATGTAAAGCTTCCCCGGCAAGACAGAAACCCATCCCTCACCAGCACAAGTGTCCTGACACCCCTAGGCCTCAGACCCCTGGAGGATCTTGTGGATCTCCACAGAACTGTGCAGGGAACTCCAGGACTATGCTCTGCCAGAGCTGCCAGGCTCCACCCCGTTTACAGAATTTCTTCCCAGGACCTCTTTGTCTTCAGACCCCTGCCAGAAACTTATACAACCAAATGCACTAAAGCCCTCTGTAGGTTGAATGTAGGCCCACAAAAGACACATCAATGTCCTAACCCCACAACCTGTGAATGTGACCTTATTTGGTAGAAGGGTCTTTGCAGATGTACTTAAGGATTTGAATAAGATCATCCAGGATTACCCAGTGGGCCCTAAACCCAATGACAAGTATCCTCCTAATGCAGAGAGAAGCCATGTGAAGGCAGAGGCAGAGAATAATACAGCTACAAGCCAAGTACCTGGGCCTGCAGAAGCTAAGCTGGAAGAGGAGAGAAAGGACTCTCCCTCAGGACATGCAGAGAACAGCTCTGTCACACCTTGAATTTGGACTTCCAGGCACCAGAAAAGGCAAATATACTTCTGTTGCTTGAGGCCACCCAAGGGGACTCTTCCAAGCCAGAGACAGTACATGTTGGGGGCATGGAAGCAAATAAGACTGGGACCCCACAGCTGAGCCCAAGCACACTCACTTCAGATCGTATTCACTGGGGTTGAAGTCCTGCCGCCGACAGGTGTCCTCCAGAACCTGGGAGATTAAAGGACAGTGAACCTCTATTGTTGGCCAGGGCACCTGCCCAGAAAGGCAGACACATCCATCTGTGCAGAGCCAGCTGCTTGGCTGTCCCGACAAAACCAGGTCTAAGGCCACTGGATCAGCAGCTCAAAGCCCTGTGCAGCTAACCCATAAGTCCTGTCCACTCACCCCTCTTCTAACTAGGGACCTCCACGACCTGCCTTATTTCCACGGTCTATTCATGTGGACACTATTCATGTGGACACGGTCTATTCACGCTCTGGGCTCTCTGGTCCTCACTCCACAGATATCTTTGTATCACATGCCCTGAGATTGTCTCTCCCAAAAAATAAAGTTCAAACTATTCATTTCTGCCCGCTGGTCAAACCTGCCCAGAGACAGACTGCCCTGGGCCTAAGAGTCTTTGAAAACCTGCTCCCAGACCCTGGCCCCTCTTCCCCAGGAGCCAGATCAAAAGGGTCACTCCTGTAGGTCCTGTGGCCCGGCAGCCAGAATTCCCACTCCTGAACTTCGCGTCCCCCACTCCACCCGACCCCGTGGTCTCCTGCCACAGACACCRGTCGCATGTCCTTTGACCCTCACTGTCCCCTACAACAGGGGCTCAATGAACACTTTTAAGTTGAAATCATTCGAGGTCACAAGCAGCGCCCAGCAAAAGCGCAGTGCGTGACTCAGCAAGTCGCTTCCGGACACGAAAGCCGGCCCGTCCAGGGTCCGGGAGGATGAGAGGGACAGGGATGGCCCCCTGCCCCACGCCCCGGAAGGCTGGGCTCAAGTGAGCGCCGCCGTGGCCTCTGGGCCCTCGAGGAGACTCGCGACGCGACCACCCGCCCGCGCAGGGTGCCGCCTCCCTCGGAGACCCCCGGGCCCGAGCCGCGGACCTCCAGGAGGGCGGGGCGCCGCGCGGGAGGCGACCATTGGCCGCCGCAGGCCCCGCCCCGGGCCCCGCCCCGGCGCTCCCGGGCCGCCGCAGAGACCCCCGCCCGCCCCGGGCCGCCGGCCGCACCTGCAGCAGCACGGTACTCGGCGTCACCTTCACCGTGTGGCGCCTCCCGTTCGGGGCCAGCACCGACACCGCGGAGCCCCCGCCGCCCGCCGGGGCCGCCATCTTCCGCTCACGTGACCCGCAGCCGGCTCGCCCTCAAACAACTTTATCGGCAACAGCCGCGACGCACAGCCACGCGGCCGCGGGGGCGGGGCCAGCGCCGGGTCCCGCCCCTGCCGCCAGGCCCCGCCCCCGCGCGGCCAGAACCACGTGCCGGCCGCTGCGGTCCGGGCTGTGCCGCCGGCCGCGGCCCGGGAAGAAGGCCGCCGCCAGGGCTCTTAGGCTTGCGGTGCGCTCCAACGGGCGCGGCGTGSGACCGGGCGGTCAGCCCGCCCCAGTGAGAACAGCGAGGCCTGAGGTCCCGCCAACCCCGCAGCCATGCCCGCGCCGCTGGTCCTCAGTGCCCACTCTCCTGTGACCCCRCCCCTCCAGCCCCTGGACCTAGCCTCCCATTCGTCTACCCAGAAAGCCGAGGGCAAGCATCCCTGCCTGGCTCTCCTCACTGACCGAGCGCCTGGCCTCTCTTGTCCCCCTCATCTTCGTGGCTGGAGGAGACAGTGAGATACCCGTGGAGGTGGAGGTGCTGTAGAGACCTCTGTGAAAGTGGGGCTGGGCGTGTGGCTCCCGCGGCAGCGCGCTCGCCTGGCATGCGCGCCGGGGCGCTGGGTCACCCTCAGCACCACAAAAAGCTAAAAAATAAATTTAAAAAAGAAAAAAAAAGACCTCTGTAAAGCTGAGAATAGAGAAGTGGGGACACGTCCCAGGACCCCTGAGTGCGCCACACTCCTAACTTCATGCCTAGAGGACTTCCCTGGCCAAGCCCTTTGCTGAGCAGAGGCTCAGGGGACATGCTGCAACACCCTGGTGGCCTCAGCCATCCAAGCTGAAGGCTGCTGGCTCCCATATTTTGGGGGAACTGCCTTCACTCTCCAGCCACGGGCTGCTAGTCATAGCCACCATTGCACAGGTGTCCCCCAAGCCGCGAGCTTGGCAAAGCTCTAAATTCTGTCCTGGACTTTTGCTGTCCCCAGCACAGCTGCCCGATGCTGGTCACACCAGATATCGGCTTAACTGCCTCTCCTGGGCGCGCGTGCTGTGGTGCTCTGGTAAACAGTATCATCTGTGTCACAGACACGTGATAAACATGGACGACGCCTGTGTAGAAGTGGGGAGATGGAAAAGCCTAGGTGAAGGGACAGCCCACACACTCTGCTACCTGGAACCGTCCCTGAGCCACAAGGTGCCCTGGGGAAACTGGGTGGGTTTGTCCCCACCCTCAGGCAAGACAAACAGATGTCCCAGATCTCTTGAGAGCCTGCAATCCAAGCCACACTGTCAAAAGAATCTGAGCCTATTTTCTTTCAACATACCACAGTTGGGAACCTGCAGCTAAAACTTGGGGCAGCAAAGTGGCATGGATGAGGCCAACATATTCTTCATGTAATAAATAAGCCAGGTGTGAGTAGCTCTTTGGGACCATCAATATCATATTTTCTCCATAACCACTTACCTAACAATTTTAGCATCAGTTGATAAATGGAGCCCTTATATTTATAGCTGCAAAATTATGATTTTCCAAGTTAATCATTCCTCCTACATTTAGCAGTCAATTTTCTTCAAAAAGAAAAGTTTTCCTCTTTTTAAAAATGTTCTTAAGGGGCTGGGGATGTGGCTCAAGCGGTAGCGTGTTGGCCTGGCATGCGTGCGGCCCAGGTTCCATCCTCAGCACCACATACAGACAAAGATGTTGTATCTGCCGAAAACTAAAAAATAAATATTAAAAAAAAAATTCTCTCTCTCTCCCTCTCTCTCTCTCACTCTCTCTTTAAAAAAAAAAAATGTTCTTAAGCAGTAACATGAAAATTCGATATTCTTTCTTTTTTAATTTGTTCATTATTTTTTTAGTTGTAGATGGACACAATACTTTTATTTATTTTTATGTGGTGCTGAGGATCAAACGCAGTGCCTCACATGCACT